AATGTATAGTGTTTAATACTTGTTTAATAAAATCTTGCTAACAATTAAAATCACCTTTGCCAAAAAAAAAAAAAAATTTTTTTAAAATTAAGAAAAGATGCTTAATTTTGAATTTTTTTAATTAAAAAATCCAAAATTAGACATCTTCTCTTATATTTTCAAAAAATATAAAATTAAATATGCCAAAATAATATATTTTCATATGCTAAACAAGATTATTAAAGTATAAAGTTAAAATGAATTAGTAAACATTTAAGAATCATAGTATTTTTTAGTATTTTTATTAATAAAATTATATAAAATATTAAAATTCTCAAAATTTTACTAATTGATTCTAACTTTATGTTCTAAGTAAACTTGTTTAGCACATAAAATATACTATAATAGTATATTTAATTTTATATTTTTAAAAATTTTAAAAAAAGAAGCATAATCTAGGATTTTTGATCAAAAATTTAAAATTAAGTATCTTCTTTTGAATTTTGAAAAATTATAGTGGTTTGAAAAATGAAATAACTTATTTTTGAGTATAATTTTTTCAAAATGTAGGTAATTTGCTAAAAATAAAATATAACATATATAAAATTGATATAATTTATCAAAATAGTCAATTATGATCTATTTTAAAATTAATATCAATTTACTAAAACTCAACTTTGGATCTTTGTTCAAATTTTTAGCAATTTACTAAAAAAAAAGTATAATATATATTAGAGATGTCCAGGGTCCTCACATGGCTATGCACTCTATGATTAATCAATCAAAATCAATCACATGAATCTATGCAAATCAGTAAATCTATAACTTATAAGACCAATTTTGATTGGTCGATTATTCAAAAATATTATGTAAAAAAGAATAACAAAATCAATCACTGTTGAGGAAACTTCAAATTTTTTTTTAAAAAAAAAAAAATCAACAATGCATTATTTTAATTTATTTTTATCAAATTGGTATTACTGCACTATAATATTATAGCTCTATATATTTGGTATTACTGATTAATCATACTACACTGATTTTACAACTATATAGCCCTATATATCCAAAATCACTACAAATAGCAACCTTTCAATCTGAATAAATTCTTAATCATTAATAGCTTTCTAATATAACTAATTTTTCATGAAAATGAAACAGAAGCTCAATAAAAAAAAACAAAAAACAAAACCAAAAATTACAAAAAGTATATTAAAACACAAGAAAGCGCCAAAGCAAAAATACAAGAAAGCGACAAAGCAAAAAAGCAAAAAAAGTACTGAAGTATACAAGAAAGCATCAAAGCAAAGATACAATATAAAAACACAATACAAAGATACAAGAAAGCATCCTATCTATTCAACAAAAGCTTAAATAAGACAACAAAGTCATAATAGTGAAAACTAGTACTTATTTCTCTAATATCAAATGAAAAAGAATCTAAAAAACAAAAAAAACAAAATAGTAAAAAAAAAAAAACAGACTGATACTAATTCAAAAACTAATTACTACCTCATTTCATTTTAAAACTTATCTAAAACAATACAATAAAGTCATAATAGTAAAGCCTAGCATTAGTACTCATTTTTCTAATATCAAAATAAAAAAGCATAAAGAAAAGTACCTATAACAAAAAAACAAACTAGTAAAAAAAATAATAATAATAAATTACTGGTACTTATTCAAAACCTATTTTAGTTCTATTTCATGTTTCAACTTCTAGTTTTAAATAAAGAAATATTAAAAGAAAAAAAAAAATTAGTAATAGTAAAAAGAAATAAACAACTAGCAAAAAAAAAAAGTTGGTACTTATCTGAAAACTAGCCCCAGCCTAGTTTTATTTTGCATCTTAGCTTTAGCAAAATTTAAAAAAGTATATAAATAAGAATAACTACTTCATAAGAAATACATAAAACTACAACAGTGATACAACAATGATACTAGTACAATAACACCAACAATGACACTAGTAATAACACCAGTAATGACACCTATAATGATATCTATAACAACACCAATGACAATACTAATAACAATACTAATAACAATATCAACAACACCAACTAACTGAAAAGTGACAAAAAAAATTAGTAAATAAAAGCAAAAGTTAACAAAAAAAAACCAAAAAATCATTACTGTATTACCGCGAAATAACGCACATCTGCGCGGTGTTTTGATCACTTGCGCGCTATTTTGAGTGCACGCATGTGCGCTATTTTGAGGTAACCACAATTTTTTAAGCATATATGTATAAGATGTTCAAAACAATCAAAAAGCAATATTTTCAGTTTCAGCAAAATTTTATCTCAGACTTCGATGTTTTAAAAAAAAGTTTAAACCATTAAAAAACTGTTTAAACCGTTTTTTACTATCACTAAATTATATAAATCATAAAGATTTTCTCATATATTTTTACTTTAACTAGTGTTGGGATCCGTTTGGTTAAACATCTGGATATCCGTGGATGGTACAAATATTAAGATGTCAAATTTTGCTCACAGATGGTGAATATGGATAATATAAAATATCCCGAATAGTCATCCAGATACTATCCGGATATCCGAATTGATATCTGGATCCCAACACTAACTTTAACTGTATTATTTTCATGTGTTATACATTTGATTATATGTATACTATATATGGTGCATGCTATTTCGGGACGCACATAGACGTTATTTCGAAACCTATTATGCAATTTTTAGGGGATGCGATTTTCAAAATAATGCCCATGATCGTTATTTCGCAGTAATACGGTAGCTTAGATTTTAAATAATTATTATTTATATGCATGTATATAGAGATGCTAGTAATATGAATCAAAAATTGATTAATCATTTAGTTGGCTAAGTTGACAACTAATTAATTAAAAATTTTGACCCAACTATTAATTGATTAACCAATTAATCAATTAATTAATTAACTATTAATTGATTAATCAATTAATTGACTAGTTGCTTTTGCATTAATTGGTATTTTAATAAAATTTTTATTAGATTTATATTCATAAATTAGATCAACTAAACAACTAATTAGTTAATCAATTAATCAACTAATCAATTAATTGATTAATTGATTAGTTAGCAATAATCAATTTATAATTGGGTTCTTTGCCTTGAAAATCATATTATGAGACATAGTAAATTATATGTTCTATAACTTGATTTTAAAGCAAAACCCCCAATTGATTTTTAAAAAATTTTCAACTAACTAATCAATTATATTTTTTGCTCTAATTTATAATACTAGGAAGTACACAACTATGCAGATACATAGAAAACTTTTTTTTTCCTTTGATAATCTTGTATTAAAATTTTATTAAATTTATAATGCTTTGTACAAACTAAGCTATTTAACAAAAAATATTAGACTAAAGCTAGCTATTTTTTAAAGATGCCCAACCTTGTATCAGAAAGTTTTGGAAATATTATTATTAAGTTTCTATCAAACCAAATCAAATCAAGCTTTTGCTAAGTTTGAGTTTGGGTTTAATTTTAAACTTTTTTTAAAATTGAGTTTGGTTTGAGTTTGGGTTTAAACTTTTTAGTTAAATTTGATTTGATTTAAATTTGATTTCAGAGTTTGACAAACAATCATGGTTAAAAACTCTTTCCAACGATCACTTGGACCAAATTTTTCGACAAAAAGAAAAGCTTTTTTTGATACTGGAGAGTAGTAATCTGTAGTGAGGTGAATTTAACAGGGCGGTTTTTATAAAGGTTAACATTTCTCTATTCTTGGAGACTCCTTTATATATTCGACATGCAAGCCAAAAGCGTCTGTATACAAGATAACTGGCAGAAGATTGTGCCCTCATATATGAAATTTTGGTGAATAGGTGGAGGTGATAGAAGTCCAAGTCTTCCGTCAACGAAGCTATCGATTGCGAAACAACTAGGAAATAGTAAAGAACGGGCTTCTTTTAAGCTGCACTCCTTTTTCTAGCCAAGTGGTGCCTACTATCTTTTTCTCACTTCCCTGCCTTTTTTCCAGAATTTTTCAACAAAAAGTGGGAATTTGGCTTACCTTCTCCAAAAGATTAACATTGTTTACTTCCCAAATTTGGACGGACTAGTAGATTGCAACCACATGTTTGTTTACGGACGGATATGGCGCTACTGCATGGGACTCAGCTCAAGAACTCTAATTACGGCGAAAGGGAGCCTTGATATAGGTCCTCGGACAATGGAGCCATCCGATTTCAGTGGGAAGGTCAGAAAGTAAATTTTAATATTAATATAGAGTTTTACCTTTACAAAAGAGATATACAAATATTGCATTTGTTATATAATTTTTATCAACCTTGCACAGGTTATAATAGTGCCTTTAGGGTCTTAGTTTTCTTTTCATGTTTTTTCTTTTTCGAAATCTGTGTTTATTTTTTCTTTTTGTTTGTTTTTTATTTTTGGTCGTTTTCATATTTGTTTTTTTTTTAGTTTAAACTTTCCCCCTTTTTGTCTCGTGCTTCTTGAGAAGAAGGAAGAATTAGAAGGGAAAAGAGATTCTGAGGTGGGAGCTAAGCCCTGGCTATATTATATCTTTAAATACGGCATACCGTATGTAGGTATAGTGGCCAACATCAGTGCGATAACCAAGGTTGGGCATCTCGAAGAGACAGCTGGCTTTTAGTCTAATACCCTATTAGATAGCTTGGTCTTGTATTAAGTATTATATATTTAATAAAATTTTAGTACGCGGTTATCAAAGGAAAAAAAAAAAAAAAAAAGTTTGACAAACTATTTGAGTTTGAATTATATATATATAAATTTATATATTGAATTAATTTATATAAAGTAAGATAGTACTCAAAACAATGACTACAAGGAATGCCTGCATTTACAGAATATAGAGACTTTTTTAAAAAACCAGAAGAGGGGAAAATAGAGCTGTATAAAGCACAAAGTACAACAGTACTAAAAGAAGATATACGTGTTGCAGAATATCTAGATACAAACAATAGTCATTTAATAGCAATCATACGTAATGTTTTATATAGATACAAATAGATACAGAGTAGAGTAATGAGACAAGATGAAATCTCAGATAAAGAAAAAACATTACTTGGACTAAGTGCAGAACCTAATAAGTCACATACTAAAGAAAAACAAAGTAAAACAGTATCTGCAAATATGGAGATTTGCTATGACAAGACAGTCATTTTGACAACTGATTATGGTAGAAAGGTGCAAGAAAGCAATCAAGTTTGTGTATGCAAAAGAAGTTTGTTAGAGCATGAGAATACAATTAATACTGATGAAGCGAAAATTGAATTAAAGAAAACTGCATTAGTGCAAAATAAAGTTGGCATCATCGATTATGGGATAAAAGAGCAACTGGCCAATAAAATGAACAACACCAACCAACAAATAGAGAACAAGAAGGCCAAGAAGTATGAAGATATTTATAATTCAACATGGGCGCCAAAGGGTGAAGTTAATGTACAAAATTATACAAATGAAACATGCTATTTCTTTACATTATAGAATCTCCTGAAGAGAATAAGTGCAGATAAAATTAGAAATTTTCTCAAATTTTATAGGAGAGCTAAAGTTTTAGATTGACAATATAGCTTTAGAACTAAGGCAGCTTTTATAAGAATTGAAATAAATATCAAAGAGCGAGAAAACTTCTTACGAGAAAGCTGGGCAATATATTTAGATCAAGGTAAATTGTACAGAATAACACCCAGAAAATTTAATATCATGAAGTTAGAAGACAGAAACAAATTTAAGAGCGCAATTTACAATGTACCAAGCACAGCTTTTGATAGCCTCATGCTTTGACAGTTAAAAAACTACAAAGTATGCACAGTACATACACTGAACAATAGTAACGGTAACCAGAGTAGAAAAGCATTATTATATTTTGAAACGGAGGAAGATCTGATTAAAGCACAAAGTTCAAGTTTGTACTACTTTAATACGAAGTTGAAGTGGAATCTTTTGGCCGCAGAGATAGAAAATGGAAAGTTAACTAGTTTGAAGTATTACAGTGAATGAAAGAAGTCTCTAAGTAATAGAAGGAAACTAGACTTTAATGAAACAGTTGTGAGCAAGAAATCAAGTGGTGACAGAAGGCAAAAAAGACCTAATAGTACCATTAGAAAAAGCAAGCGTCATTGTAGCAGTAAAAGGAGTTGGGTTAAACAAAGAATACCTAAAAATAAGACAGTATACAATAAGGAGAATGTAAACCCTGATGTTACGTGTTTTGCCTCAGGTTCAAAGGGTAAAGCAGTAGAGAAAAGTGATAAAGTAGAGCAGTTTGATCAGAGCTACAAAGATGTCTTTGAAAAAATATTAGCAAGACTTGACAGAATTAAGGAAAGATATATGAGGGCCGGAGGCCCCAACCACTCCTAAGGGTGCTATTGGCATGCTTAAAGAAAAAGGGGGCTTGTGCAGTAAGTTTTCAGTCTGGCAAAATGAGGCCCTCTCTAATGACACGGATATTAATATAGTAGATGATAAAGTAACAAGTGATTTTCAGTTAAAAGTAGCATGTCATAATATTAATGGTATAAGAGGTAACAAGATCAAACTAAGAGCAATATTAGAGTGAGCAAATAATGAAAAGATTGAACTTTTAGAGTTAGTAGAAACTAATACAAGTGAGAAAGATCTTAGATTTAGTATAGAAGGGATTAGTATAAGAGGTTTTTGGTCACAAGGTGAAATTTCAAAGCACAAAGGTTCTGGTGTAGGACTATTAGTGAGTCCAAGGTGGGAAAGATATTTAGACAAGGTTACAAGGTTTATGGAGTATTTATTAGAAGCTCGGTTCTACTTCAAGCAAGTAGTAGTTATTGTTTTAGTAGTTTATCTCCTACCAAATGACAAGGATATAGTGAAAAAGATATAGCAAAAGATCATAACAAGTTTTATGGAGTGAACAGACAAGATGCATTTTGTCATAATAGGTGATTTTAATCATATAGTCGATAGAGAATTAGATAAATCTAGTATAGAGAATACAGCATGTTTCAAAGTATTACCACTTCATAAATAGTTCCAAAATCAGGGTTTTGTTGACACATTTAGGCTAATTAACCCAGATACTAAGAAGTTTACATGGTCTGGACAGGGAGTTGAGACGAGAATTGATCAAATCTGGGTGTCTGAAGATCTTCGATATGGTGTTCAAGATGCTAATATCTGTGAAGCAAATGTCATTACAGCAAGTGATCATGCAATAGCAATGTCAAATATTTCACTAAAACATCTAATTAGAACTCGTAGTAAGGCAAATAAGAGGAAAAGAGGAATCTCTAGAGTTGTTTATTTGTATGATAAAGCAACAAAAGATGATTGGAAAGGTTATCAAGAAGATCTGGAGAGGTTCATTATAGGCAATCAAGCGCTTGCCAAGTGTTGGGTTCCATTAACACATAACAGGCTTAATATAATATAGAATATTATATCAGGTGCAGTAAGGTGTGCTGCTAACAAGAACACTCCAAAGAAAAAAGTACCTGGAGGTATGTACGAGAAAAGAAGTAAGAAAAGAGCAACAAAGTTGTACAAGAATATAGCGAGATTAAGCAAAATTATTCAAAGAGTTAAAAAAGTGGCAGTATATGTGGACGTTGTTTTAGATTTAGTTTCAACTAGCGAGGAGATCAAGAGAATCAATGTTGAGCACCAGGTAGATATACCAAATATTGAGAACATTATAAGGGAAAGTGATACATTGTTAAAGTGGTCAGCACGTGCGAAAGAGTGCTGGAAAGCATTGCGAGTGCAAGAGAAAGTAGAGGAGGAGAAAGCCACTCATAAAAGAATCAACATAGCAGTAGCTCATAGATATGAAAGAATTGATGATGAAGTTGGAGTAATACTAGCAAGTATTTTTGACAAACCCTTTAAAAAAATAAAGCTCAACTGTATTTTAGAAAAAGGTAGCAATAGATGGACTTTGTACAATAAGTCAAGTGATGTTAAATCAATTTAGAGAGAGAAAAATACTTAACGACCAAAGTGTGATTAATGAATTTTACGAACCGCTCAAGGAGGTGAAAGAAGAGTGGTATTCAGAGTTAGATAATGAAGTCACACTAGAAGAATGGTTGGATGTGATTGAAAAGACAAAAAATAAAACAGTACCCGGAGTGTCAAGAATTGGGTATATGCTAATTAAGAATGCTAGTATAGAGGTGCAGAAGATTTTTAGAAAGTTTGCAAGTTTGTGTCTAGCAAGCAGTAGCATTCCAGATAAATAGAAAATTGTACAGGTGTATCAAATTCCAAAAAATAAAAATTGGTGTTTCTAGTTATATAATATTAGACCAATAGCATTGTTGGAAACTTTTAGAAAGTGTATTACTCGGCTATTAACAAGAAGAATCTCAAGGGTAATAGTAAAATATGAAGTTCTATGCAGTCCAAATTATGCAGATTTGCCAGGTTGTTCGACAGAAAGTGCAATTAATTTTGTCAAAATGATAGTAGAGAATGCGTGTGAAAGCAAAAAAGAGTTATGGTTGATGCTCCAAGATATGAAAAAGGCATACGACTCGGTATCTATAAAGACACTCCATGCTGCACTTAGAAGAATAAAGCTGCCTTCTAAAATAATTGACTTCATTATTGAACTATTTAACAAGAGAAGGGTTAAAATAATTACTAATTTTGGATTAACTGATGATTTTGAAGCAGATGATGGAATCAAGCAAGGAAAGACAATATCTCTACTAATGTAGCAGATTTTCTATGATCCCTTGTTAAGGAAAATCCAGGACAATGAAAAGCTCGGATATATAGTAAACACAAGTAAAATAGTAGATATACAGTTGAACATAACAAGAAGAGAATCAGTAAGGCAGGCAGCGGTGGCATTTGCTGATGACACCATATGAGTAGCAGGAAGCAAAAGCCAAGTTGAACAGATAGTCCAGACAGCGCAGTGATTTTTCAAGTTTAATAATATACAAATAAATGGAGCAAAATCAAAGCTATTGGTTTATAATACCACCTTGAACAAAAGTGAAAGATGGATTGAAGTTGATAGTCATAGAGTGCAGGCAGAGAAGAAAAAATCACTAACACGTTTGCTTGGGGTCTGGATAGGCATAGAATCAAATGAGAGCCTAGTAGTTAAGAAAGCAAAGAGTATTGTTGGGCAGTTTGTAAGAACGTTGCGTTTTAAAAGCTTATCAATTAGTTAGCTAATTTATCTAAATAATATGTGTATTGTGCCAAAACTAGCATATATATTACAGTCAACCAAAATCTCAAGAGCAAGTCTCGACAGGATTTATCAACCTATAACGCAAATTATCAAAAACAAGATTGAACTTCTGGCTATGGCTAGCAACTATATAGTAGCGCATCAAGGGTTGGTTAGGTGCAAGACTCTTGGTCAAGAAATTTTTAGCAGACAATTAGTTAGCTTGCAGAATAGGTTAAATAGTCGTGATCAAGTAGGCAAGTTAACGCAAATAAGGTTGAATGAGGGGTTTGCATTAGCAGGCCTTGTTAAAGAGAGTTGGCATATATTACAAAACTTGATGCTGAGAAGGGTGTGAAAAAATAACTTAGCAAGCCTAGTTCTATTAAGAGCAAGTGAGTTGGGAATCTCAGTCAGTGCAAATATAGAAAAGTGGGAAGTTTTTGGAACAGGTCCTACGATCTTTGAAGTTTTAGGAGAAGAAGTTTTCAGCAAACACTATAGCATTATAAGAAGATTCAATGTGTTCTATATTAATCAGTTAATCAACGAAGCTGGTACTGAAATGGTAACTTGGCACAAATTTTGGGTCTTGCGAGCAAATTCACCTAAAGGACTGAAAGCAAGGTGGTTTGGAGCTATTAAAAAGAAGATCATCAGCATCGAGACAAGTAGAGAAGTAGTGGGTGCATTCAAGAAATGCAATGTATATGCAAATCAGAGCAGAAAAGGTTTCAAACGACAAGAGACGTCGTGAATGGGTGATAGTAAATAAAGAGAATAACGAGTCAATTTTGGGTAGAGTGAGGAAAAAAATAAAAACTCATTTGTTGGTTGATCACTGGAAATACGCACCAATGAGCGATGGTATGAACATTTTGTCAGAATGTAACAAGTGCAGTTCTGACCAAGGATCTGAAGGTGATATATACTAGCAAAGGGTTAGTAAGAGAGAAGTATTAGGGGCAATTCCAAAATCAGGTGTAAATAGAAGTAAAAAAATACCAGTGGTAATAAATGAAGTCAAAGGGTTTAAGTCAGAGGGCAATATAGTTTTAGAAAAGATTGGTAAGAGACCACTAATCACACTATAGTTGTATATTCGCATGAAAGGAGTTTGGTTGTAGAGCAGGGTTTTGATGCTGTATTGGAGTTCTTGTTAGTACAGCAAGTAGAAATTAATTATAGCAAGGAGAGTAGTAATTATATTTTTTATACAGATGGTTCTCTAATGAAGGATAGTTTAGGTTGTAGAATAGAAGCAGGTTGGGTATTGGTGGATAGTAGTGAAAGAGAGATGATATTTGAAGGAAATGTTCGGGTTAGCAAATGGCCATCGTCAACAAAAGCCGAGTTAGTGGTGGTTTGGATGTCACTTTTAATGGTTAAATGTAACAGTGAAGTGGTGATTAAGCTCGATAGTGCGGTAGCGATAGCAAGTTTGTCTAATGCAGTACTATTAACTGATACAAGATTGTGAAGCAAGAGACCAAACGTCGATCTGGTAATCAAGATTCTGGATATTTAAGTCGAAAAATATTGCACTCGACCTAGTGAAAGTGAAAGCACATAGTAATATGAAATGGAATAAGAAGGCCGATTAGCTTGCAAAAGAAGGAGCACAGTTATATCAAGTCTCGTTATTACCAGTTGAAAACAATTACCACAAATTATACACAGTGCGCCTAAACGACACACCATTGGAGCTAACGACAAGAAAAGTAGCTAAAACATTATTTGGCCTTAAAACTGGTGCAGAGTGGAGAAGTTTGTACGCTATACGTTTATATGAAAGTAATGAAGACTCAAGTTGTGATTGGAAAGCATTATGGTGCCAAAATAGAAAAGCAACAGGAAACAAGTGCAAGTCCTATATTGCAAGTAGAAATATAGCATTTAGAATTAAGTGTATAAGTGAGAATTTACCAGTGTTTTCAGTTTTGAAGAAACATAGGCCTGATCTATATCCAGCAGATATATGTATTAGTTGTGAAGCTAAAAGCGAGATAACTGATTATTTGGTTGAGTGTAATAGTTATGATTTTTGCTAGAAAATAATTGAAGATGTAGCATGCTCGATTGTGTGGAACAAA